TCTATCATGCCGAAATCAATGACTTAATCGGAACGGCCGAAAAATCATTCGGTCAATTTTTATCTGGTGTTCCAGGATTTTTGAAAAATAGCAGTATCATAATTTCTGAAACACCTGATAAAAATTGCCAAATGATTTTTCTGCCGATTCGATTAAGTAGTGGCTTCGGCATGATCAGTATATAAGTTACAATTTGCATTAAGTTTTATACATATAAATTACATTGTAATTTGAAATATATATTTTTTTGCACACTAAACATGTTGAACAAGTATTTAACCGAAAATTTAATAATATTGAACGTGCCGACGTTTATAATGCACATGTCTCTTATATATAGGAATATAGGGAAATTTGCGTAATTTTTACGTATAAGTTTCTGACATATAATTTTTGTTGTTAAATAAACATCGGTCAAAACTTTTATAGAGCTGCCACACAAAGTCTAGTAATGTTGGCAAAATTTTTGTAATGCATGTCAATAATCAGCATTAATCGTACATTTTGTAATTTTATTGAATATCTATTATGCCGAAATAATAACTTAACCAGAACGGCCAAAAGACCATTCAGCAATTTTTATAAAAATTATGATAACAGCTGTAAATGTTCCAGAGTTTATGAAAACAGCTGTAATAACCGCGTGGGTTTTTAAAAAATTTTTATCGGATCTATAAAAGTTTCATGTTATGAGAACCAAGATATTAAATTTGTATAGGCATAATCAAAAATAGACTATATAGTATGATATATTTGTATGTATAATTTTGTATAATGCAAACCCATAGGTTCAAACTTTTGGTAAACAGAATCACTTAAGTTAAATTGGTGGAATAATCGAATCCGACTGACTAATATGAAAGATACGTTTTTAAAATACAATTTCCAAAATTTTAAATTATTTTTATCAAAAGAATCTTTTATATCTCGTTTAAGAAGTTCTATTCTAAACAATACAAAAACATCATGTAACAACAGAAATAAACAACCATTCAAAATAAATTTGACTTAAGCTCAAATATCATACGCCAAAAATATTGAAATAAACATTTTAAATTTGTGCCATCATATTTAGGATCTAATTCCAAGGAATTCAATTGTTGAACAACTTGCATAATTAAAGGTCGATTATTCGGTTCACCATCCCAACATTTTGAATAAAGATTAATATATTGTGTAGGTGTTCCTATAATTGGTAAACCTTGAATACTAAGTAGGGGACAATAATCGTAGCGTTGACTAAATGGAGGACATCCATCGCTGGAAATCACCCACATCACAGTTCCAATACTGTATACATCAGACTTGTCAAATCGATAATTTGCATCTTCAAATTTACGAGGATCAATAAAAGCAGTTACACCCTAAACTCCTTTACTGCTGGTTACTGCTATAGTATTAAGTTTTTTTGAAAATCCTAAATCCGAAATTTTAACGTCTTTATGATGAATAAGAATATTCGCAGTATGCTAAATTAAGGACAGTGTGATTATAAATAACTTGAAATTATCAACACTTAGAACGATGAAATTAATATTATATGCTTTACCAAATCACGATGCATATTCCAATTTCATGAAGATAAGACATTCGGATTTTTTCAGGCCATTCTAATTTATTATTTTGTAGATATTCTCGTAAAGTTCCATTATCTGCATATTCCATTACAAGATAATGTGTTTTCTCTGTCTCGTCTATAATAAAAATTTTGAATCAAGATTCGTAGTTTGCAGAAAATATAGTAATGTACAATTGTAAATAACATACTGAGACTAATCCCATAAAATTTAATAATTCGATCATGATTAGAACTACTGTGTTGTTTTAGCTAAAAATACCATTATACCTTAGAAAGCAGATAAATACTGTAATAATCTTGAATATATACTTAAATGATATATACCTCATTTAAAAAAAGCTTTTGAGCCTTTTCGTCCGTTTCTGATTGTATATACTAACGTAACGGCTACATAACCTAGTGAAATGGACTCTGCCTGATATACTACTCCAAAGGATTACGGTACGATTCCCCGAAAACTATTTACCCCGACTGGTCACTTACCCGACATCACAAGGGTGACAAATTGCTAAAAATATATACCTGCAGCTAATCAAATGCTAACCCTAACCCTATGTGATGTCGGGTAAATAGCTTTCGGGGAATTGATCCAAAGCCCATAATTTTTCAACCAATTCGTATCGTGTAACAACGCTTTTAAACCAGCTTAGTCTAAATAAATTTTACACATAAGGGTATTGTGGAGCACTTACATTTTTGATATCTTGCGATCTACGGATCAGAATCGAACAATTTTAGTACCATTCGATTCGTTTACTGAGACGAATCGAATGATACAAAAATTAATCATTTGGATCCTCAATGGATATTCTATAGAATAGGTGGGCAATATAAGAAATAAGCTTCGCTAATTATTAGTAATCATTGATTTTTTAATAGCGGAGTTGCGGAGTTTGCCCACCTATTCTATAGAACATCCGTTCTGGAATATCGAGTTTTTTTAAAAATATTGTGAATTTTTTTTTGGCTTGTCGATAGATATTAAGTCGAATATTAGTTTATTTTAATAAATTTGTTTCGCTAAAAAAAACCCGAAAATTTAAATCTAAATCATATTTAAATTGTCGAGCGACACTCAGAAATATATTTTCTTGAGGAATTTTACTATTAGCACTCTTAGATGCACCATAATACCCGATCCTCCCTTAAGTAAAAGAACAGGAAAATTGGATTTAATAAAAAATTATATTGACGATAAAAAACATGTACATTATTTTACGAAACTATATGCTTACCTCCTAGTGATTTAACCATTAGTGAAAGAATAGAGAAGTAAAATTTATGTTATAGAGAATTCTATTGACGATAATATGTGTACATTATTTTTATGGGTAAATTATATACTTACGGACTAGTAATTTAACATGTAAGTGAAAAATTGAATAGTTTAATGGAGAATTCTATTTAGAATGAACTATATACTTACGGACTAGTAATTTAACATGTAAGTGAAAAATAGAATAGTTTAATGGAGAATTCTATTTCGAATGAACTATTACTCACTCTCTAGTAATTTAATATGCAAGTGAAAGAATAAAAAAGTATTAACAATTAAAAGTATATATTATTTTATAAATAACTATATACTCACTCTCTAGTAATTTAATATGCAAGTGAAAGAACAAGAAGTATTAACAATTAAACGTGTAGATTATTTTATAAATAACTATATACTCACTCTCTAGTAATTTAATATGCAAGTGAAAGAACAAGAAGTATTAACAATT